CTWAAAATAAACATAAAAAATTGTTATATACATAGCGGGTCACATAATGAAAAAAAATATTAAATTGAACAAAAGTTATTTTAAAAGTCAGTTCTATTTGTTACACCTTATATATTTGAGTATAAGGTATGATAATATAATATCAATTGACAAGTAAGAAATATTTAAAATATATTTAGATTCTCATACAATTTATGTTTACATTTTTAATCACTGTCTATAAAGTCGTTTAGCATATCTGTGAAATTTTCATCTTCCAAATCATTTTTAATTAATGGTTCGTCAACTGAGCTTGAATCCATACTATTATCAGCATCCATTGATTCTATTACAGTATTTGGGTGAACAGTTTCAGTATTAACATTGTTTAATTCGTTTACTTCAATGGGTAAACTTGAAACATTAACAGTTTTATTGAAAACATTAGTTTTGTTTTCTGTGATAGTGTTTTTAACAGGTTTTGGAATTGTATTTGGCTGGACATTCTCAGTATTGATAATTTTAACTTCTTTTGCTTTAATGGGTGTGGTAGAGTCTTCAATTATTTCATTTGTTATTTGAGTTTTGTCCTCCGGTATAATACTTTGAGCAGATTGTGGAATTACAATATTTGACTGAACATTTTTTAATTCATTAATTTGAATGGGTGCAATCGAATCTTCATCTATTTCATTTAAAAAATGAGTTTTATTTTCTGGTACAGTACTCTGAGCACATGGTGGAATTTCTACATTATTTTCAAGAGGGAAAAATAGTGTATCATTACGTGGGCGAATAATATGTTCTAGCTTGCTTAATGATGATCTACAAACTTCTTTTACCTGAATAACAATAAAATCAGATACAAAACAATGAAAAAATTTATAGTTATATCCTTATACATAGCAGACAATTACGATTCAAGAGTAAAATATATACAGTGAGAATTAAAGCAGGTAATAAAATCTAYTTGACAATAACGGTAATATACACATTGGCGGGGCCAAAAGATAGACCAGCTATAGATAAATAGTAACATACATTAGACCATGGGCACGGCTGTAGATAGGATCTACAGCCGTGACAATGGGTTCCAAAGACTATTASCACAAAAGCAACAGCACTAACTGTAGTCGATAAGCAGAGGAATATAGGCCTAARCAGAAAGCCCCAAACGATTTATTTTCAGACGCGATTTTACTAAGTTAGTTTGAACACTTTCACGCCAATCTTATGAATTAATTGTTTGGACTTAGAAAATAACAAAGTCAAATCATATATTGTCTAAGCCCTTAGATTATGCATAAATCTGAATATTTTATTTCTATTCAAAAGTTGAAAAGTTATTGTCATTMGTGAAGGGTTTTTAATAACATACAGTTATAATACCAAAGTGTTTTTGAGTTAATTTATAAATAATTTACATCACTACTTATCCTGTTCTGCCATTATCACCTGTACGTAAGCTAATGCTACACGGCCATTGAAATTACTTAGGGAGGGGGGGGGAAGAGCACTCATAAAAATTTGGTTTATATTTGGCTAAAAATAATTTTCAATAAAATTTTTTTTTTTAATTTAATGAATAAATTTAATAAATCTATGTAATATTATTATGGATGAAACAATAGACAAATCATAAACAAGGCAAGTATCAGCATGTTTTTGTATAGTTACTGATAATTTTAGAATTTGAACTATTTAAGGGCTTTTTGACTCAATAGATTAACTAATTCTCTGATTTTTTACATTAAATTATGATATTCTAATTCAGGGGTCGCCAACTATTTTAAACAAGTGAATTTTAATTTTAAGTCTCCGGTTATTTACATCCAGGAAAATTTAGGTCTAAAGATTTGTTTGATGAGCAAAAATCAAAATCAAAAAGGGGGTGTAGTGGCCGGGTGAATGAAGGCGTCGGTTGCGTCGCCCACCGTCACTAGTTCAAATCTCGGTCATGGGCAGCATCGCTTTCCGGGAAGTTCTCGCTATCTGGAAAGATAGGTCCCCCACCCCCACCCGGGCATGGTAGAAACCTATGGGTGCCCATTTGAAATTCTGCAAATCACCCACATATTCAAACCTACAGTTCCCTCCCCTACAGATTCACAAGCTAATGAGTAATGACATAAGTTGTCGAAGCATCAACCCTAATAAAAAAAAAAAAATGGTCTAGGCTCCAAAGAATGATAAATACCTAGAATATAACATGCAATCCACATTATCTGATGATTTATTACACGAYTGGCCAATATTTCTATAAAGAATAAAGATCGACTGATAGATGACCACTGTTCTAACTCAATAACAAACTGTGGTCAGTGTTATGAAGTAATATACTCCAGTATTCCACCTCCTCTTAACCCAGATTTAAATGCAAATATTAGTGACCATATCATTATTTTAATGAATCTATGGCTGAAGCCTTTACAGTTAACAGTGTTAACACATTATTTTATAATGGGAGGAAGGCTTTTCACATAAAGACCCCAATAATTTTTTAAATCTGAGTGCCTATACATATATCACTCACTATGTTTTTAGATTTAAAAAGTTTCTAATAATAACTTACTTTTTCATTACGATCATTTGTACCAGCAGTAAAAAGGCGTAATGCTACAGATGTTTGTGTTAAACTTTGTGGATGTGGTGATATAATCAAAGCTAATAATGATTTGTATAAGTTAAATCGACACAAATCGTCATAGTACGGTAGAGGATAATCTTCTGGCCGTTGACACTTGATAATTTCTAATAACAATCCCATAATTGTACTTTGAAAAATCTAAAAAATTAAAATTAAAATTTTTATAAAAGAACTATTTAACAACAAATATTTAACATACTTGGAATTGTAAAATCTTCAAATTTGAAGACAAGGTGTTTAAATATAACTGAAGTGTTTTATGAGCTTCATTACACACAGTTTTATTAGCAAGATAATCATGCATAACAATTGTATCGCGTTGATTTATAATTTTTTGATTTAGAGCACCACTCTTTCTTTTTTTATTACCTGTTTGTTTGTCAACCTATAATGAAATATTTTAATAGTGTTAATAAATATTAAATAACCATTTATTTTACAAACTTACAACTAAATTTAGAGATGGTTTATCAAATTTTATATCTAATAAGATCTCAGAGGTAAGGCTTTCACTGAACAATTCAAGAGAACTCTGGGAACCAGCTACAGCTAACCACGAGCATATAACTTGATATGTTAACTCACGCTGTTGCCTAAATACAAATGAAATACAACATTTTTAAATATCACAAAATTAATACAAATACAATATAAAAATGAAACTTACAATTTAGACCTAGTTGTACCATATTGAGTATTTGATGAATTAAAATGTGACATGTTAAAAGATTGCAATAAAATACGACAAATTGATATTCCTTGAGGTATTAAAACCCTTCCACAACTGTAAAATGAATATCATAATTTATGATTTTACAATATTTTAAAATCAATGTAATTAAAATTTAAAAGCAATGAATCTACAAAAAAATATATACTTTAAAACATTAAGTAAATTATGTATACCATTTAATAAGAGCTGAAATTGTTTTGATGGCAGAAGAGTGCAATTTCCATAAGACAGAATCCAATGCAATGACATCTCCAGTAATCTTTGTAGCGTTAAGCTTTTCCGAAGTAACTGATAAGGTATCAAAAGCAAAATATATAACTTTATTGGAATCAAGATGTTTAACAGTAGAAAATGTGGACCTATAAATATTATTACACTTTAATCTATATTATAAATTATAATTATATAAGTATATTATATATTATATTATAAAAGTGCATATACTGAGTCTTACAACAACATTGATTGAATTGCTGTATTGAAAAATATAAATAATGTTGTCAACTTTTCATWACGCTCTTTAGGAGTCATTTGTGCAAGTTCGGATAATTTAAAAACTGACAAATYAAATTTTCCTTCATATTTCTCAGTCAYYTTCGTTCCAGAGAAGAACTATTTACCAAAAATGAAAAAAGTTACAAGTTGTATACAAATTTTAAATAACATGTTTCTTACATCGACATTAGTATAAAGTTGGCTTAAAAAATAATAGGCACAGTATAGATAATCATTAAACTGACTAGTCCAAGCTTCAACATGGTTAATTCCTTGTTGTCCACGACCACCACATTGAGGATATAAAGCAAGATATTTTGTCACTTTGAAAACAATATCATCATCGTTAAAACATTCACTTAGCACTTTAGATGTAAATTTATCCAATGCATTCTATAACAACATTACATTCGTACAAATAAAATAAGTAAACTAGTGGTGTTATAAAAAAAAACAAATGGATAAATAAAGTGATACCTTGAATTGATTGCATGTTCCTCCGTAGTATTTAATGAACAATCTTATTATAGTTGCTTGTGCATCTATAGCCTATACAAATAAATTATAATATAATTAATGAAATGTTTTATTCTACAATTAAATAGTATATGGAATATATAATATATACAATAAACCAAAAGCAAAACCATTTAAAATATAACGTTAAATATTTAAAATTTAAATTAATTATAAAAAATGTGTAATATATCAATGACACCAATTATTGAAGACATAAATAATTTAGAATTCTTACTGATTTATTGACTTTCCTTGATATTAAGTTTTCAAAAAATGTTGGAAGTACTATATTGATTATCTGCTTTTTTATGTCAACATCAGCCAGAGTTGATGTAATAAAAGTTTCTGAAAAAAGTAAAAACCCCTAATTATTATTACATATAACTTTAATAAATAAATCTAAACTGGATCAGACAACAATACATTTGTAATCAAACTATTATTGTATAATAAAACAAAAATATAAAATATTTGAAATTGAACATTATTATATTTAAAGCACCAAAATTTAATAGTTATTAACCATAAGGTTGGTATATTATTATATACACTCTGTTCTAGTTCAGAAATGCTGAGGGCCAAATTGTTTACAGGAAAATTACAATAAATAATAATACATGACAGCAGACAGATAATTGATTGGGTAGAAATGTCAGACTGCGGCCAGCCAAAAAATTGGTCGTAACCGACTATGTTTCTTAAAATGAACAGAGTATAGAAAATTTTTTATTTTTACCAAATATATTGCCTTCTTCAGCAGAAAGTCCATAACTAACAGCATTTTTCAAACGTTTCTGAAACCAGTTAACTGCTTCATCGGCCTATGAAAATATAAATATCAATTATTATAACATATCAAAATCATCAAAATGCTTTTCTCGCGAGACCTTTAACGATGCGACTTGTGAATTCATTTTAAGCAATATTTGTGAATTGTGATTAATATTTAAATTTTAAATTGTCTTAAAGAACTAAAAGTTAAGACTCAACACTCAAGACGTGACCATAACCAAATCCCACATGGTTGCGGCGTTTGATAACACGGCGTTGAGGCGGCATATTATCACCTAATGATAATAATAAACCAAAAAAGTGTAAACCATAGAGTAATATAGAGATGGCATTGTACTAATTGGTTGAACCACAAATTGCCTCCCAGCAGTGTGACCACTTTTAAAGTCGTAACTTATGGTACCGTGGTAAATGCACTCCAAGAAGGTTAGATACATAATATTATACCATAGACGATTATATTATAAAATTAATTATAATATAATATTATTATTATACCTTAGACATTTTACTTCCGTCTATGGATTAACATTTAACATATAATTAGTAATTAGTAATTACCATATTATAGACAAATAGTTTTTGTTTAGTATTGTATCACATGGATTTATTTAAGTGAGTAATAGTTTAATAAATAAACACA